GGAAAGAGGGGAAAGCACCTCAGTGTCAACTCCGGTTTTGTTCCATTCACTTTCTGGAATCTACAGAAGTGATCTGAATTTCCTAAGTCTAGAGGCTAAACAAAACCGATACAGTATTACAGCCATTAGAGTCTTACATGGTGGCTGCTTTGCAGAATCAAGAAATCCTCCTTTTTCTCTGTCCCTCTCTCTCTTTGAGCCAGAGCAATGAGATCCAGATGCGATATGACAGTGGAAGCAAATGTGACAGCTATTAAGTGCTCAGTAACGGCACAGCGAGCAGCACTACATAATGCAGCTGCTTGTAACGATGAAGAAATGCCAGATAAATCAGCGATTCAAGAGTTATCAGTTAGTCCTTGCAGAACACAAGGAGAACTCTAAAATTCCACCTTGGCACTCACCTGGAAATGAGGATCAAGATCTCGAGTGAACAACTCTAGCTAGCTCTAATACTTTTGTGGCCCCACTACCTGCACTGCGTGTGCATCGGCCATTTTTAACATATTCGCTTCCAAATCATCTCAGCCATGTGGGACAAATCTACACAGACAGTTTAAGTGCAGAGACATCACAGGTCTACAATATTTTTTCAACAATTAAATTTCTTCTCACTTCAACAGGAATTGAAATAGCTTAGTTCTACTCAGGCAATGAATTCTTCCCTAGAAAAAAATGACCTAGCAGTAAGCATTTCTATGACAGTTGGTATGAAACCTGAACTGGTTAAACACCTTAACAAATTTCCCAGAGACTGCAGCTCCTCTGGAGAGGTCACATTAGGATCTCCATAGCTGTTCATAAGACTAGATTTTAATAGATTCAGTGAAAAGCTCTCATTCTCTCATGAGACAACTCATCCTCAGCGAGTTTCTGAATGAGGAGATGTAGGTTAATTAAATGAAAGGGTAAGACGATTTGACGAATGTGGAAACATACACAGTACGTGAAATAATATGGCACAACTAAAGAATGTCCTTTTGAAAACTGCAGACATCTGCCTACTCATACAAAATTCACCCTAGTAGAAGAATATAGCACAAAAGTATCGTATCTGCTCCTTCAAGTGATGAAGCTGTTCCCTGTGGATATGCTTTCCCATCCTACACGCTGCTGTGTACATATATCCAAGTTCCCCAGCATACACATTTAAAATCAAACCAAAAAAGTCATTAGGATTCAGAGACAAGTCTCCAGGTGCAGAAAGAGATCACCAAAAATCAATTTACAGTTCACATACTAAGCAACTGATATGCAGAAAATCTATTCAGAAACAGAAATGTTTTGTTAGCAACATCACATCATGAGTTTTCATTTATCTCTTTATTGTTTTTACTCAGTCTTTCAAGTAAAGATTCCTCTTTCTACCCCACTTTTCTGCTTTTCTCTGTACAGGCCAGCAAGAGATATCAATATTTTTTTTCCCATTCCATTCCAAAATAAAACAAGACACAGATAAACACAAAACATTACAAAGGTAGACTTCTTTCTGAACCTTAATAGGTCCCTCATATATGTACTTACTCACAGGGAAATATGACTTTTTATGCCAATACAGTGTGAAATTCAGAGCTTAAATTAAGTTTTTGAACTACACTGAAAATAAACACACCTTTAAGGTACTCCTTCCGCATACGTGTGTATCTTTCTCTACCTTCCTCTTACATTTCATTTTATTCCCTCTCCTTTCCATTTCTCCATCTACAAAGTCACAGTTCCACCTTCCTTTGGCATTTTTGTTGGCTATAGCAATAGGACCCCATGCTGCTGCAACCTGGCAATTAATGCAAAACTCTCTCCCAAATGCGGGTGCAGTTGCACGTGTCCCTCAGCAGAGGAGCACCCCAGGTCCCTTCCAACACCACTGCCAAAGAGGTTGGAGAACTCTGTTGCCAAGCTGCCTTCTTTTGGGGTAAGCAAAGCTCTCCCCAGGCCCCAGATTCAAGGAGGCAAAGGACTCTTGCACTTTGCAGAGTCTCTCAGCACAGACTGCAACAGGGCCTATTTTTCAGGTGCATTCAAGGTTGGGACAAATAACATCAGGCTAATACTAAGAGGCAGCCATCGATCCTCACCCAATCATTTCAATTTGCACATTTTCCCCTCCGTCCACCAGAAATTTAATAAAGAAAAATAGTCACGCAGCTACTAACCTTGTCAGTTCCTCCTGCAGCTGAGCGTGGTCAGGGGGAAAGAATTTTACCACAAATTTTACAACAACGTGCTTCGGTCCTAGGGGAAATGTCAAAGGAACTTAGTGAACATCAGTAACACGCTGACCAAATTTTATTACGCAGAATGATGTACAAGGGATGATTCATGGGGCCTGCAGTGCACATATACATGCTAATCTCCCATCCTCTGTTAGTATTCGGGTTATTTAGAGATTGCACAATAAAATTTACAGACAATAAAAGAGAATAGTAACTTGGTGGAGGGATACTTTGCCAAAACCAAGTCTGTCTTTAGCAATTACATCAGTTGATCCAATAAAATACAGTATACGTGTTTATTTTCCTTGCTTCAGAATAGGAGGGAGCTGAAATACATTCTATTTTTCAAGTCCACTATGAAACTACTATTTCTGTTTTCAAAGCAGTACATTTGCTCTTACTCTTACAAGTATAACCAGTGACAAAAGGAGCAATGCTTCTCTTTGATGAGAGGGAGAGGTGCCAGAGCATACATTCAGACTAAAATGACCAGAAAGGCACCTTGGAAAACTTAATGGCAAAGGTCAGTAAATTAAGAATTTTGCTGATGTTTGACAGGGAAACAAAATCACCAAAGCCTTTCCTCTTAATTTCTACTCTTCCCAGAGCTGACGGCTATTTACAAATTCCTTTTCGCTCCTGCCACCACCTTAAACTTCCCTGATACCCCTACTTCAACTGTTTCCTCCTCTTGGTCTCAGACAGTTCCAAGTCCTGCAGCAATGTCCCAGAGAGCTGTAAAATATTTGCTAGCTCCTTCCCAGCAATAATGTCTTCCTGTTCTTTTTCTTTTATCTTACTTACTATTACCTTTCAGCAATATGTGCTTCCTTTAATCCTTCTTTTATTACACACGTTTTTCTTTACAAACATTTACATTGTCAGCGCTGCCTTTTCTAGTGACTGCCTAAACCTCTGTCTCTTACTGGGTCAGCCCCTTCAGATGTGACATAATTTCACAGCAAGCACATCTTTTAGGGACAGAACAGAAATAAAAAATAATCCAAACAAAATTCAGTGAAGACAGTTGAGAAGATAGAGATCCCAATCGACAGAGCCCTCATTTATTCAAGTACTCTCAGACTGGCAAAATAAATGACAGCAAGGAAGTACTTACTTCTGATCTGTTTCATAACGGGCTTCAAAAGATCAAGCCACACCTGAAAACAGAAGAAGGTGGTGTTATCATCTCTGAACCTACTGCTTACAAAGCAGCACTTTTCATTGCATTACTTAGATTTTCATTTACTTATTTTTTCCAGTCATCATGCTCTCCCTAACTACATGTAGTGGATTTTCTCCCCAAAACTTTGCAAGATGCTCAGGAAACAGCACTGTTAATGGGCTGTCACAGCTTCTGAAGCAGTACAAATTCAGAGAGCTGGGAAACGTTGAGGAAATGTTCCCTCACTTGTCTCAGATACCAACAATCAGCATGTTTGATTGGGAACCATTTGTTTTGTGGAAAGCACTGAAACACAGAGTTCAGAAAAAGTCCTATACTGTCATTGCGGTCCTCACCCAAATTAATCTTGAGAAAGGAAAGTAAAAAGGGCTACAGGCAATGCTGGGAAGCAGAGAAACAAGAAGGCAGCAACCTCCTGGTTTTGCGGACCCAACAGGAGTCCATGAGGCCTGGGCCTCATGTTGCAGCCCAACCTGGGAAGCTCAGGCCTAGGCTTTCTTAACTGGGGGAAGTGTAACTGGTACATATAAAATACTTTCATCTGGGTTTTTACAACCCATTTTTCAGGACAATGTGTGGATCTTTTGGCTTTCAAAAGAGCAGCAGTGTGTAGAAATACACTTTTCAGAGCCTAAACGCCCCTTCTGTAGTCTCAGTCAGAAGGGCCTGGGCAAAATGTTATGAAAGGCCGAGGGACAATCAGGCAGAAGGCAAAAGCCCAATGACTTTCAGGGCCTGGAGAAGTGCAACAGCTCACAGTCCTCCACCGATAACTAACTATGCCCAAGATTTGTATTTCGTTATCTCAGTAAATTGCATGGAGTCTCCCTTGGACATACCTGAAATTTGTGGAGGAACATCCTACAGCCGGCACAAAGGTTAAAGCCATTAAAAAAACAAATTAACCGAGCCTTCCTCTGGAAAAAGAATATGTATTCAAATGAATACACCTTCGACCTTTAATATTTTTAGATTATGCAAAGACTGAAACATACTCAAAATATCCATTTCAGAAAATCACCTGAGAATCCAGACAGGAACAGGCTGCTGTAAGTTCTCCAATGCTGTTTGCTATTTTCATCATTACGAATACAAGTGCTTCCAATTAGCAAAGACCTCACATTCCTGCCCTTTCGCACTAACATTTCTTAATGGCATTCTTTTTATGTTTCTCAGCTTAGGAAAGTCTTTTATTGGGGGGAAGGGCTAAAGAAACTTGATTATCCAAGAACAGGAACACGGTGTTTATCACACGTTAAACTGGTTCTGACACTTTTTGGCATTTCAGTAACTTAAAACTGTTTTGCTTCAGAAAGTTGGCATGTACGTAATCTGCAATGAAGGTCAGGGACTTTGCCAAGTTTAGTGGGAAAAAAAAATAATCTTGAATATGAAATAGCCAGTTTACAAGATTATGGGAGTAATGTATTTTACTTGACACCAAAAAAAAAACCCCTCTCTCTCCAGAGGGACTTTATGATACAGCACGAGCACACAAGCACATCATTCCTTTCTCCACTTTCCCAGTCATCCTTCAAGCAAGTTACAACATCCTTGACCAGACTCCTGGATACCAGAAATGTGTGCATTGAACACGTGTAGGAAGAAAGCTGGGGCAAAATGAAGACCTCATCAAACCCAAGCAATCCAAACTTATGCACTGTGCAACTCCCACACTGTATCTAAACCCAGCCAATCTGAGAGTGGTTTATAAACTGAAAATGAAAAATAATGTGAGGATTCAATTAAGATTCATGTTTTCAATTTTCTCCAGAACTACAAAGGCTAGACTATTTATTTTTTAAACAAAGTCTGGCATTCCACGATAGTGACTGGATTTCAGCAGCTGGGGAATCGGGGCCGACATCAAGGGTGACGAAACTCCGTGAAAGGCCAGGCTTGGCAATAGTGCCTCATTTCTCCTTGTCCCAGCAGGAACTGCAGCCCTCAGACCCTCCACGTTCATCTCCTATGCAGATCTTGCCCGGTACAAGCACAGTCCACTTGAATATATACAGCTGCCAAGCATCTTGACATGCAAGTGTCAATACATCAGATACGAGGTCTGCAGCCTTGCACATTGAAACAAACACAGCTGAACTGTCAATATATGACTTCACATACATATGCTTACATCCAAACAAATATGCTCTAAATACTTGTTTTTCCTTTTACACTGCACTCTATGTTGGAAAAGCAACTCACTCTCTTTAGATGGTATGAAAGTAAAATATGCATGTGTTTTATTTCTCTGGCACATCATTAACTACAATTTTTTTTATTTGTGCAATGATCGAGTTCTACGCTATGGCCATTATGAGGCTCGGAAACTTTTAAATCCCACGAGAACATTCATCTCAACTACATCATATAAACTGGCTCATATAAATTAAGTATAAATACGACTCTCAGAGCGCTGCTCCACATTGTAACAACAATTCATAATCAAAGCTCCCGCTTCAGAGTTTCTGTAAGTTGCTTTTAGGTGGTTTGAAGGCGTTACTTCCACCGAATCTCACCATTCTTGAGGCACAGCTGACTAGAGGTGGGTAAGATTTGGAGATCAGAAGCACAGATAGGAACAACCAGCAGAAACACAGACCAGTGCTCTCAAATACTTGGGTAATACTTCCTTTTGCAGGAGTTTGGGCCAGGTGAGTTACCATGCTGGATGCATCGAGGCATTTTCCTTCAGGTCAAACTGGCAATAGCCTTAAGGGGTTTTCTCCACCTTCCTCTCCACCAGAGCCCCAACTCCCCCACTGTGATCGTCTGGACGTATTTCCAGCCAGTCAATTCCTGCTACTGCGAGGGCCTCAGGCACTGGCAGCACCTCAATCTCTCCTGTGTTCTGCCTCAAGCAAATAAACCATTCTGTTTTCACAAGACTGAAAACTGTTAATTTACTTCAGGTCTCTGAGCAAAACACAGAGGCTCATCTATTTGAAACTTAATGACCTGTGAAGTAGCGAAGGCCGATAAAATGACCTTCTCTATTTTTTAGAAAACTAAAAAGCAACTGTATATACACAAGATGTTAGGATTTGTTTCAGCTTTACATACATATATACATCAGGAATGTCAGTATGTCATTATTAACATGGCTACATGGACCCTCTGTTGTAATAGTACTGTACAGTTGCACTGTTTTGAAGAGTTATGTTAAGCTCTCAAGTTACTTAAAGCATTAGCCAAGGATATCTGGCAGAAGACAGAACTTTCTAGTAAACTGTTTCATGTACATCCAGGAGCAAACTGTGTAGAAGACCACTTCTAAAGCTTGATGTCTATTTTAAAAAAATTTCTCTTTTCTCTCATAGTTAGTCTAAAACGTTATGACTGCTAGCATTCAGTTTAGTGTACATGTAAGCCTGCACCAAGGCATGACAACAGATTACTGCAGCAGCAGATAAATCCTCTTTTGTCTCTTTTGTTAAGAAATATTGCTCCTTACAGAAATGTTATATAGACAGAAAGAAAATAGATTTATTTTTTCTCATTGCCCAAAGTCATCTCCTTTAGGTCAGCCAGGCAACTGGTGCAGAATGCACTAAACAGGCAAGAAATCCAGTATACACCAGAATGTACTGGTCAAACAATTCAGATTACTAGCACACATGCCAGTAGGTCACACAGTAAGACTAAAGTAAAACAAACTTCAGAAAGAAAGTCATTAGAGGCTGAGAAGTCATCAGCCTTTGGCTTTCTCTGCTACAAGATACTATTTCCACCCTAGAATTATCAGTGGATGCCTAAATGTTGCCAGTAGCTGTTCTCAAGAGTCCAAAGTGTCAGGACCAGGACACCTGCCCGTGCCACACAGCTCCCCAGGCAGGACTTTCAGCAATTTATTTGGGTTTTCTGGCTTTGCTTTCCTTTTAATTAACTTTATTATGTTTTACCTAAGCATTGTCTTGCCTCACAATGTTTTTCGTGAAACTGCGCCACAGTCATTGCAACTTCTCTGTATGCGGAGAAAGATTATTTCCACACTCCAAATTAAGCGGGACTGTAAAATCAGAGTTAAGACTCTGCAACAGTGCAGCCTTTGGCTTCTCTACTGCAACCGATAAAGATAAAATGCTTTTCCAGCTTCTGTCTGAAATGGCTGTTACTTTCAACACAGATGAAATCTGACAGGAGTAATCAGGTTTTAAAAACATTTCTTCAACTTCAGCAGGCAAGAACATTTTTCAAAAGTTCTTTTTTCCTTTGGAGATTGAAGATTAAACATACCTTATAAGTAAGGAGCAGAAGGAGAGAATACAGTGTGTATGTAGATGAAAACCAGCTGAAAATTAATCCTTTTACATACCATCATCTTTTTATGATCTGGAAATTCAAGGCCAAAATAGTCTCCTTCAACAAGGTTCAGGTGGTTGCAAACAGCATCATGCAAAACCTTCCCCGGAGCTCTTTGCTATAAGAAGAAAACAAAGCCTAAGGTTACAAAGATGCTTTTAGTTAGTGGCAGAAAAATTACTATGCTAAGAAATTGTCCAGGAAACAACACTGTCAAAACAGTTTACAAAATCAGTTGATATTCCAACCATACCTGCAGGGCAGTTGACAATAATTACGTTAGCTTTAAAGCTACTAAAAATATCCATCCATCCCTGCATGGCAGCTCAGAATTCATCTTCAGTGCATTTTTATTTTTGAGGGGAAAACATCATGAAAGAGGCAGAAGAAGGGGGACTTGGCATATAGTTTTCTTATGTCTGCCACGTAAACGTGCAATGCAGTAAGGTGTCAGTCTCGAGGCTAAACTGCTACTCTGAATTTTGGAAGACGGCTATTTTACCCCTTGGCCCTTCAAGCCGTGTCAGGTGGTGCTACGTACATCTGTGTGCAACATACTGAAACCAAAATGTTCATCAGCAGACCTGTCATATAAAACACAAAGGTCTGAGGGCTTGCTGGACACCGCTTGATAGGCAGCAGGCTCATGTCCTGGGTTCTGACTTCATACGGGCTTACCCCAAGCCTCCTGCTGTGAGGCACTGGTCCAGGCGCATCTGCGCTACCCTTATGGACTTGTCCAGTAATTCGGAGGAGTCAAGAGCAAGTGCTTCCTTCCACACACTGAAAGCCTTCCCTCCATAAAGACCAGATATTCTAGCCCAATATTAGCTCCCAGAGCCACTGCTTTGCTGATTGTAAGGATTCTCCTCATCAGAACATCCGTTAAATCCATACCGGCAGCAAATACTGTAAATTACAGCTCACCAGCCAGTCTGCAGCAAAAAAAACCCCTGTTTCTGTATAAAAAGGCCAATCTCTGAAATGAAATATTTTCGTTCCTTGGACAAATGCACCTATTTTAACTCAACAGGCCCTGAGGCACAGATCTCCACTCACTTCAGAACAAATAATAACCATTAAACTGCACAAATGCCACCGTTATAAGAGACCCATTACACCCCAGACAAGTGCCCTTTCACTCAACCTACAGATTGGCCTTTTCCCGGTCTCCCCAGTAAATAATTACTAGAGCAAAATCAAACAGCAGTAACAGAGCAAAGGAAAGAAAACCATTAGAGGCAGGCCATCCAGGCGACCTGGCTCAAACCTGAGCCCGAGCCCAGGCAGTGTCCATACCAAGCAGCTATTCTGCTGGTGGGCAGCTGCTCAATCCCTGCTCCTCCCAGATGTATCACTGCGCAGTTTGGTCTCTGTTGCACTGGGATACCAAAAAACCCCCAATCCCCAGTTGTTTGTTTTTTTTTTTTTACCTAGGGCAATACCTGGTTTGCAGCCGCAACGCAAAGTACACAGCATCTTTCCAAAATTTATCTAATGCTGTCTAATATGAATTGTGAAAAGTAAATACCCAGCAGCGAGGCTTACACCAGAGAAATGTAAAGGATGATGTTTTTCTAGGAAAGTCACAGGATATGTGTGCCACCACAGCAGTGCTGTCATCCCGGTGATGCAGGACAGGATGACCAAACCCTACAACACTGGCTGGTTTTGAAAGCTGGAAGAGAAAAGCCACACTCACCTCCCCAGGAACTTGCTGAGCAGGTTTTTGCCCACATATGGACCTATGCCACCAGGAAGCAATATTCACTTCCATTATTTTATTAACTGTTTAATATCAGCTCTAGCAAATGTTAGCTTCAGGAATACTGTCAAAAACAGATAAAAAACCAACTGCAGGCAGCAGTACTGATTTTTCTAAGCATTCGTCATAACCAGGCTTGCAGTAACTAAAGTAATTCATACCAAAATACCAATTAAGAGGAAACAGAGAAGGGAGGGAAAAAAAAGACATCTACTTTTCTAGACAGAGCACTTTTGGTCTTGCATGATGCCATCCAAAATAATTCCCAAGCACAAACATATCTGAATACGCTCACTTTATGTTCTCCAGCTTCATTAAACCAAAAGCATCCCCAAAAACCACCACCCACCCAGGCCAAACCAGCCATTGGGTCTGTGTGTCAGTTCTGACATTCCCACATTTTCCACTCCATCACATCACTGGAGGCAACAGAGTAATATTAAAAAGGCAACAGATCAAGTCTAATAATGGTATTAGTTTACTGCTCAGAAAATGCACCTACAAAAGATTTAGAAACTTCGGGGAAATGCTCCTGCGGTCAGACCAGTCTTAGGCCTCCTCAGTTTGACTGGGGCCACTGGAGAGCAGGAGGATGTGTTTAACAGCCACCCTCGCAGCAAGAGGGAGAGGGTATTTGCTTTCAATCCAAGTACACAACTAGAAAAATGGAGACGTGCCTGTGCATATGAATGTGCACATATATATATATATGTGTGTGTGTGTATATATATATATAAAGATCAAATGCCATCATTCCTCCCAAGAAAGTAAGGTCAAAATTTTTGATCAACAGGAAAAGAAGGCAGAACCAACCTGTGGCACCACACCACCTAGGTTAGCTGAAGAGACCAAGCCCGTCTGATCTCAGATCATGAGTAAAAGAAGCTGGTTAAAACCTATGAATGTTTTTATAAAGTTTTTTTTCTTAGATGCATTTAGACGATAGAACGGCAGTCTTGTAGCGTTTATGTCACTTGGCATTTTCTCTGGAGTGTGGCACGGTAACATGAAATGCTTCTTACTCAAGTACTTGTAAATAGGATTATTATTCTAAACTCATCTTAGCTTTGATCAGTCTACCTCAAAATAAGATCTGGCAGTTCATTCAAGGGAAACACTATGCATATAAAATCTGCTGAGATTTAGAGCCTGATGACACTCTGGTCTTCTAGGACCAGAAGTAGTACAACCTCCACAAAAGCAGCAACTCTCTGGTCTCACAGAGATGTTGATTCAGTGCAGTTTCATGACATCCCTACTAAAAAATTTAAACACAATAAATTAAAATCTCCATCCGTCGGGTATGGAAGCAAACCAGCAGTCGCTCGGGTCACAGTGAACATGAGCCGACAGAGGAAGCATTCAGGAAGGCGTGCGCCACGCTGATGACATCATCTGCAGCCAACGGTCATGGCTGACTTGAACAAGGCCTATGGGACAATGCAAGTTTTCCCCAGTACTTGAAAAGCATTTTCCAACCATCAAGTGCAGTCCTGCTGCCATGCCTCAGACAGGGAGCACAAGGCAACCTTCATCGGCTCCTGTCCTACAGCCTTGCTGCTGCAACCATGTCCCATGAACCACACAGCTAGGCCGCTTTCCACACTGGCATGGGTCTAATACATGGGGGCCTATCACAGAATCACAGAATACTAGGAGTTGGAAGGGACCCTGAAAGATCATCCAGTTCAACCCCCCTGCCAGAGCAGGATCACCTAGATTAGGTCACACAGGAAGGCGTCCAGGCGGGTTTTGAATGTCTCCAGAGAAGGAGACTCCACAACCTCCCTGGGCAGCCTGGTCCAGTGCTCTGTCACCCTCACAGTGAAAAAGTTTTTCCTCATGTTCAGATTGAACCTCCTATGCTCCAGCTTGCTCCCATTGCCCCTTGTCCTGTCATTGGCTGTCACTGAGAAGAGCCTGGCTCCTTCCTCCTGACACTCGCCCGTCACAAGTTTATAAACATGAATGAGGTCACCCCTCAGTCTCCTCTTCTCCAAGCTAAATTTAGAGACCCAGCTCCCTCAGCCGCTCCTCATAAGGGAGATGCTCCACTCCCTCAGTCATCTTTGTGGCTCTGTGCTGGACTCTTTCAAGCAATTCCCTGTCCTTCTTGAACTGAGGGGCCCAGAACTGAACACAATATTCCAGATGTGGTCTCACCAGGGCAAAATAGAGGGGCCCCACAAAATAGTTACACATGCACCTAAGGTTGCAGGGTAGGGTACGGCTGTACTACAGCCTATGCTATAGGAGGGCTTTTCCCTGATGCAGTGAGGAAGCACAGGCCATTTTCCATTACATAACCATCACAACAGCCTCATACACTGGGATGAGAGAAGGTCATCAGTGTGGCCAGACATGGAGGAAATAGGAAAGGAGAGCCAGGAGATCCATCTCCTGCTCTCTCTGAGCATCATTGAATGACAGCTCACACCAGGGAGGGGAAAAAACTGACCCGAAGGTGAAGATCAAAGGACGAGGCATGCAAGCAGGACATTGACAGGAAAGCTACCATGATGAAGGATGGGTGGCAAGACCATACCTCCAGATCATCTTCTACCACAGATGCCACGTTGTAAGGTGAGAAGGGAAAGGAAACAGGAGGGTAGGGTGCACTGGTAGAATATAACTGGGGGAAGGTCTCATGCGGCTGGGAAGCAGCTGCAGCACGGGGCAGTCCCCTGCTCCTCTTTCTGTTGACAGCCAGATTCTGGTATAATCAATGAGGAAATGCAGCAGCTTCAGAGGGCAAATCTTCCTACCCCAAAACAGCCACATGAGCACACCAGCAATGAACTATTCCTTAGCAATACCATCGCACTATTCCACTCTTGATGACAAGGAGCCCAGACACCTGCATTACAAGGCTCATTTTAGATGAGTTAAATCCCAGCCACACTGACAGCAGGGAATTACTATTATTCTCTTGAGGTGGTATTTAGTTACACTAAAATAACATTATAAATTTATTGCAGTGAAAAGCAGTTCCCTGATTTCCAGCTACACATCCTTATTGCTTAATGCATTTTGAACTGGCCTTTCATTTAGCTCTGTGAAATCACATTTTAAAAGTCACTTTACATCTTCAGGGAACATCAGGCCACTAAGTTTTAAATTATGAATAATATGCATCACCACATTTAGCTGCAAGCTATAAAGGTACCCAGACAAAGTAGCCTCCTTTACACATGGTGCATTCAGCATTTGCTGCCTGCTCATTATTCACCCTCTCTCTACTCACACCAAAATCCAAACCAGTACACTGCTTATGATCTTCCAGTGGTGAGTATTTTAATAGGCTCAACAATTATTTAATGTTCTAGCAATGGCCAATCATTAACAAAACCCTCCTTCTACAAACTTGTTTAGACCATTCTTTGGCACAGATTGCAATACAGATTTTTTTTAAAAAAGAAGTGCATAGCAATATCTGGAAGACATCCAGGACTTTAAAAGAAGTTGCTTTGGACACATTTCCCCATCCCCCAGTTAATTGAGCAATTATTTCACTAACCATCTACCAAAAAAAGAAGTGTCTGTCTAGGATCAAATAGTGATTTTACCATTTTTTTATCTGTCTAGTCAACTAATCTCAGATTGAATAGATCTTTAACTGAAAGGTTTTTATTCATTTGGGTTTTTTTACATTACTGAGCAGTAACAGCAGGTTAAAAGACCAAATAAAATAAGCACTTTCTTTGGAACATCTGAAAAATTTAAGTCCCGTCCGTGTTTTGGTCAAAGTAAGATAGCTTCATGTGGCAGCACGGATTATTCTGTTCTCTTTTTCTTCCTCAAAACTGCTACAAATGGATCAGAAATAAAGGGTTTTTTTGTTTTGAGGGTTTGTTTGTAATTACACTTGCTTGCGCATTAGTAACAGTTGATAAGGAGAGAAAATAACTCCTTCATGTTCATCTAAAAGAAAAAAGTACACTCATCATTCAC